ACAATTGTCAGGAATCAGAAGTTATTGATTCTACAAAGCCTTGCGAGAAAGTGGCTAGAATATGAGTCGACTCAAGAAATGGCTTCTGACGTCATTGCCAAGCACAATGCTGCTTTTTGTCCTGGGGAAGCTTCTGATATACTTGAAGATGATGAAACGACGGACTTGTTTGGCACAATAAACTTTTGAATGAACAAATCATGAATTGTTGTGTTCTATTGTTCTATGTCTTCTATTGACACAGGCCGGCAGATGATACAGAAACTCGCCCTGCGAAGAAGATCAAAATTTCATCGGAGGAAACCTGTGGAGAGGACCAGATTTCGTCTTTGGCCAAGCCGTGCCTAGATTAGATTGGTGATGAAATGGTGATGAAAACTTTCAAAAAAGCACAAAACCACATCGCAACATGTTATAACTTGTTCCTTGTCTTCAAAAAACTAAGGACCAAGTTGAGTATCAATGGTGCAGCAGACCTCATCACTGATGAAGGTGGTGATTGCTTGTTCCTTGCATCGCGGGCTCACAACACTTTCACAGCCTTCAGGGAGATGCTCTTTGATTGCAACCCAAAGTTTGTTGCTGTTGTTTGACTACATTCAAAGCAAATTTCAGGTTTTCGTTTGGCAGTGGAGAGTGGCGAAATGGATCAGACTCTTGTTCAGCCTTGGAGCACAGTACAATATGGTGGTCGGGTGCACTGAGTTTCTGATTCCTTCCTTCCAAGCTAAGGAGGCACAGGAGGTCTTGTCAGACCCGGCTGGCCGATGGTTTCTCTTTAAGATGGAGCTCGAATCTACAATCTTGCTGGAGAAGAAGGACCTTGGGACACATTTACAAGGCTTGGGGTGCCTCAATGGCCCAACCTCCATTGCTGATGTCATCCGCCAGCTTGAAGATGCAGGGGAGGCAAGGCAACTCAAACCAGTATGAAAAGCAGCAATTATATATATAATTTAATATAGATATATTATATATGGTTGGACGTGGTCGGACATGGTCCAATGTAGCTTGAGTAGGGAAGTTGCCCCTAGGTACAGCTTTCCGTGTCCCACCATGACCTGAGCTCTGACCGTACACAACTCGTTCCGTCTACCAACAAACCCTTGCTTTTTCTCCTGGACAGCCCCAATGAAGATGAGTCACTTGGAGCAGTTTATCAAAGATCTTCTTGGATAATTTAGGACATATAAACCTATGAAGAACTAACAGGAACATGGGCAGCACACCAATTTGGAAATCCTCTTGCAGGCTCTTGCATTTTTAGCTACCAAAATAAGAACGGCGGGCGAGCCAACAAATGATCAACCCAGGAAAAAGAGGAAGAAAGGCAAGAAGGCAAAGAAGAACAAGGATGGTGCTGGTGTCACCATGGTTTCATTTGGCAACATATTGAACATCAACAAGTTCAAGCAGAATGACAAGTTCACGATTGGTTTCCGATGCAGGAATCTGGCTCAATTGAATGTTTACATTGGGCTGTTTGAATTCTGAGGTTGCTTCTCTTTTTGCAGATATGCTTGCAAACACCTACCTTTTTTGCAGATATGCTTGATTTTTGCAAGTTGAAAGAACCTACCTTTCTTGACAGTGTTGAACCCTCTCGACTGAAGGCTGGACACATCTTCGGACGGAAGTACAAAAGTCATTACACCAGTGAGGCCAATTGCCTGCCTGAATGGCATGCTGGATCTTCACCAAACAATCATCCGCTTGATGTAAGCCCATGCATCACTGCGAGTTAGCTGCTTTAGGTTTTGGACAGATCATCTTATCTCCGCTTTGTCCTCCTTGGGGTGGATGTATACAAAAAGAGACTACAACACAACAAAACTACAAGCAGGACAGGACTCCAAGAATATAAAGTCTCTCAGGTAAACAAATTGTTGATCTTACAAAGTTAGAACTTTCAAGGATGGACTGCAACCTTAGCACCCCTGGAGACATCTGGAGATTCGGGGGGGGGTTCCAGTTCTGAAGAACTGGGCACAAAACGTGCTGCACACGTCATTTGCTCTTTTGCTCAGTTTGTGAAAAGGAATGGTATGTCTTGCTTGCATGTCATCCAGTCTTTCCTTGAGTTTGTTTCACTCGTCATTACAGCATGTTATTGCAGTGTTTTGCATATGGCAAATTGCTCAGAAGGTCAAACCGATCAGCAGGGTGCTTAGCTTAAGGGGATTCGAGGATGGCTCGGGCTAAGCGCGATCGAAGTCCTTCAGAGGAAAGCTGTGAAATTATGAATGTGCCACCTGCTTTTGGCATTCCAGTTGCTTGAGATGAATGAGAAACAATGATTCCTGCATTCCAGTGCACAAGAAAAACAACCGGTATCTTACATTATTTTACCAGAAAATGTGTTTTGCTGCTGTCACAAACCAGCTTTATGCAATCAACCTTTGACACCTGAGGCTTTCAGCCTAGCTGAAGTGATGCGTGATGCTTCATCTACTCGGAGTGCACCACCTTCAGCACGGCCACCATTGAAACCAACTCCGAAGGGTGCTCCAGGGCTTAGTGGGGGTGCTAGCAGCTTGGTTGAGGTATTGGGAAGCCAAACCTGATGGTGTGTGTATTTTTTCCAAAGCATATGTCAGGAGTTGTTTTTTGCAACACATACGCAGCAGCTTTAATTTTCACTTGAGGTGCCAAGGCTTCCTCTTCGGGTGGACCCTCCCCACTTGATCATGTGCTACCACCAAGATACTCAGAATCTCAATCTCCAGAAGATTCCTCTTCCCAGCAAGAGGCAAAGAAAAGCAAAAAGAAGAAGGAGGGAGAAGATAAGAAGAAAACAAAGAAGGGGAAACCTGCGGATCAAGAAGAAGAAGAAGAAGAAGATGAAGAGACGCAGCATGATTTTCTTGCCTTGGGAAAAGGTCGCAAGGATGACGATGAAGAAAACGATGATGATGTGTTGGATGGCATGAATTCTTTACTTCAACTCTGTGGGGACAAGCTGAAAAAACGACCAGCTGGTGGCAAGACGACTAGGGGTAGGCCAATCAAACGGCCCGCTGGGAATGACGCAAAGAAACATGAGGACAGGGTTTGGTTCAGTCTATGTACAGGCCCACATTGTGCCTTTTTATGCAGCCCTTGTCTAAATCCTGTGAACATTCACGAACCTTTTGCAGGACCAGGGGCTGAGTGGATTGGATGGATCTGGGGACACACAGCTGGATTATACACCGGATCTTGCTCCTGCTGATGAAGAGAACCTGTATTGCAATGTGACACACACACACATGTTTGATAAGGGCACATCAACACTGTTTGGACGATCCAAGGATGCTTTTTGACTTATACAAGCTGAATGTCATTGAGGGAGATCAGGCTCAGGAACATCCACTTTGGACGCCGCCGCCTACAAAGTTCACAGAAACCCCAGACAATCAGCTAGGCCTTTTCAGCTCTGAGACCAAAGTTTCTTCGCCATTGCTAGTGACTGAAGAAGTACAGGACTGGGTCAGCCTTGTCAAACACTGACCAAATATAAAAAGGTACAAAGACAGAAAACATATTGGAGGAATTACTAAGAGTAGACAGAAACAAGAAACACTGATTGGAGGAGCAAAGGAAACGACTACGACGCAGCCTATGCTTTTCTCCCAGCATATTGAACAGCCTCGAGGAGCCATGCAAAACATTGCAATAGACTACATGTTTTTTTGCTCAGTCAGGCTTCTGGCATGTTCAATGTTGATTCTTGAGTTCTGGCAGCCATTCCTGTAAACCAGGAACAAGGTGTCGCTCCACACAGTGGGATTGCTTCAAGTGTGCCTGCTGGGCCTGCATCAAATGAACGTGAACCCCCTGATGATGTACGCCCCATTCCTGCAGAACCCCACAAGCAGGGTGGAAACAACAAGGAGGATGGTGCAGAAGTGCTTGATGATGGGTATGGCTCTGGTGAAGCCCAAGAGGCAAAGTCAAATGGACACCCAGGAGATGCACCCCAGGTAGACCCTGACCTCTTGTGTCCAGCCCTACCAAAAAATGTGCTCACGGACCCTGTGCCTCCTCATCCGGGCCCTTCAACCCCTGGTGTCTTGCAGGTCGCCACCCCAATGCCCAACGCCTCACAAGTGGCAAAGGAGAAGAAAGACAAAGCACTGGCAAAGGCACCCTGCAAACCAAAGACATCCCCCAAAGCAAAGGCATCCGCCAAAGCAAAGGCATCCCCCAAAGCAAAGGCATCCCCCCAAAGCAAAGGCAAAAACAGCTCCAAGAATGAAAGGACGTGGACAACCAAAGCCCCATGCAAAGGCAAGCCCAAAAGGGAAAGCCAAAGCCAAAGGTCGCCCTTCCCCAAAGAAGCGTGCCCGCCAAATGGATGAAGTCGAGAAGAAGTTGCATTCGGCACCAAGAATTGCATATGAATGTTACGCTGTCCATATCATGTTTGCTCAATGATAATGATATCCCAAAAGGCTGTGGGGACCTGACAAGTATGTGACAACACTAAGGTATACAGTGCTGCATGGCATGAAGCAAAGAAGAATGGCCTATCAGGGGTTGAAGCACAGCAGTTTGGCAACTTTGAGCGAAAGAAGCTCCCCGGCAGCAAGTAGTTGACCTACATTAACTTGTTTGAATTACCTTTAGCTGTGTGTGTGTGTGTGTCTTTTTGCTGCATCGTAGTTTAAATGATGCTTGGTGTTATTTTGCATCTCACAACTGTGTGAGGTGGGCTAAAGAGCATGGTCCAGCATCTCACCATGCTGTTCAAAAGTGGCTGAATGCCACAAGCTGATTTACTGGCACAAGATCAGTGAAACAACATGATGAAGCGAATATGATGATTTTGGGAAAAAGACTATGCAGAGCGCCAACACTTACTTTGAACCATGCCATGCCAAAGGGCCAGTTTCAAAGGGGAAAAGTCTCACTTAGAGAGGGACTTCCCTATATATATTTATAAGTGCGATGAGCGATGGCCTCCAACCTAAGAGTACCTAACCACTGGGGCAAAAACTTCCCTTCCGCCGTCCGCGCACCTCCGTCTTGAGGATGTATTGGGTCTCTTGCTGATCCTGGCACTAATTCAGGACGAAGAACGTTTTTTCTTCTTAGCTGTTCTTACAACGTCTAATATGTGGATCAGCCGCGGTCGAATTAGGACGTTCATTTTGCGTGGCCAGTGTGGGACGGTCAATCACCATCTGAATGTATGGCAAGACAGAAAGCTTTGGAGGGAGAAAATTAATGAAAATTCGACTACCATAAGTGTGTTGCAGGATTCCAAGGGAAAGGGTTGTCAAATTGGAACCCTCAAGAAGAAGTCCTAGTGGTGTAGGCCCAAGAACGTCTGCCTCCGCATAGACTATCTATGACACGTACTTAGGACAAAGCTCTGGAAAAGTTATCGGTGTCGAGAAATGGATAGTGGACTTGAGGCAACTTTGGTAGGCAAAGAACAATCCGCCGGCCCTTGGGCGCGGCGTGTTTTTGGTGATTGGTTTGTATGCTATCCTAGTAGTCGTTTTGTTTTTAGTCTAATTGTACCCACGGCGCGGATTTTTGACAAGTCTAACTTCCCCCCCCCCAAAAAAACCCCCCCCCCTCTCCCCCCCCTCCCCCCTGAAAAGTAGAGCCTACCTGTACAGGGTTCCACTCCAACAGCCGATATAGTGTGTCCATGCTTGACTGCTTCAAGGCTCAAAGAGCAAGAGGATAAGACTCTGCGCATAAAAGACACTAGCGGTCTGCACCTCTACCGTGTACGCCCTAGTCACTCTTTCAGTGGTAGCGGAGCAGTGATCCTGGAAGACCCAGGTGAGCTCCTTTCCTAGGCATAGACTTGCTAGTGGGCAAACAGCCATGGATTGGATAGACGACTGGGAAGAGCCTGATGCGGATGTGGCTTATGAGCCAGCAGCCTATGTGAATAGGCATGTGAGAAGAGAACTAGCAGCAATAGCAATGACAACACAGGTCACTACAAAGGTGCCCCCATCTTATGATGGAAAGACTTCATGGTTTTCCTATGAGGATGCCATAGACGATTGGTGTGATATCACCGAGCTGGAAGATGAGAAGAGAGGACCAGCATTGAGAAACAGATTAGAAGGAGAAGCAGCTGTATACAAGCGTGTTTTAGACAGAGATGCATTGAAGGCAAATGATCCACCAGGAGCCGGCGTAGAATATTTCAAACGAGTACTACGACCATATTTCGTGAAAGGATCAACCAATGTATTCCTGTATAGATTTATGCAATTCGTGCGCTTCAATCGAGGATCAGCTGACATGATGAAATGGATGACAAGATTCCAGATTTTACTCCAAAGGCTTATGAGCAGTTGGATGGACATGTTAGAACCAGTCACTCAAGCACATCCACAGGTCCTAGCTCAGATGCAGGCAGATGCAGCGTTGACTGGAGTAGCACCAACGGCAGAAAGGATTCAGGAAATCATGCAGACCATCAATGGCAATATGAGGACTCTTCATCAGAACGAATTTCCTCTAGGAGAAAATCTCATTGCCTTACTCATGCTGTCACTTGCAGATTTGTCTCAGGACCAGCGAAACACTTTGACTTCTTTGATGACTCATCGTGGCAGGGTCCTGCAGCAATACACTACAACAGAGCTGAGGACAGTTTTCATTGAGATGTTCTGCGCGACAAAGACTTCAGTAGACAATCCTTTGATGCAGCCGACAGGTGCTGGAGGTAGAAGATCATTCCTCGTGATGGAAGAAGGAGAACTCGATGGTACATTTGGCTATTGGGCCGAAGATGAAGAAGATGGAACAGAAGGATTTTTAGATGCCCTGGACGATGTCTTTTGGGTATATGATGATCAAAACTTCTCGTGGTTCCAAAGGAGATTCCAAGGAAGAAGAGCCAGAAAAGGCAAAGGAAAAGGAAGAAGAAAAGGAAAAGGCAAAGGAAGATCAGGCCGCAGATTCTTCAGACCTCGTGGAAAAGGAAAAGGAAAGAGACGAGGTAAAGGCCATTATGCTGATGAGCAACAGACAACATATCCAGAAGAGTACTTTGAAGAGAATCCTTATGAGGACACTTGGGAGTCAAACCAAGTAGCATATGATGCCATTCTTGCCGAAGATATGAATGACTATCTTCAAGGAGAATATGATGATGCCAATGACTTTTGGCAACAGCTTGAAGAAGCATGGTTTTCCCACAAAGGAAAAGGAAAAGGCAAGAGAAAAGGCAAGAAAGGAAAAGGAAAGGATAAAGGAGATGGCAAACAAGATGCAAACTATGCAAATCAACAACAGCCACGTTCTTTGCCTGCACCTTCAAGATCTTCACAAGCATCAGGAGGTCAACAAGGTTTCTGTGCACATTGTGTGACAGCAGCAGCTGAAGTCCATGACAGTGAGGTGAACTTGCTGTCAGGCATGATGACCTCATGTCAAGATGAAGCTGACTGCGCGGTCAACAATGGTGAGACGATCTTCAATGGCATGGGTGCCCCTGTGAGGTACTCTTTGTCAAAGGAGATGCTCACAAGGACTCCTGATGGCTTTGCGCTTATGAGCGCTGAGGAAGAAGTGAAGGAGATGCAGGCCATTTCATTTTTGACTGAGAATCGCTTCCCGCCGACTATTGCAATCCTGGACATTGGATGCACTAGAGCTATGGGATCAAGGCGAGCAGTCGACCATTTTTGCAACTATGTCGACAATCACTCAGATTGTGGATTATGGTACTCTTTTGAGGCTACCAAGAGCAAGTTTTACTTTGCCAATTCCCAGAAGGCTACTTGCTCTCAGAAACTGGTGATTTACATGTATGATCGTGCATGGACGATCCACCATACAGAGTTCGACATAGTGGAAGAAGGAGAAGTCCCTTTGCTTATGAGCTTGCCACAGATGAGGAACTTAGGCTTTGAACTCAGGCTGACACCTCAACATGCTTATCTGACATCGGTGCCTCTTGGTATCAAATATTTGGAGTTGAAGGTTGCAGCCAGTACTCATCTTGTCTTGGGCTTCCAAGATATTGCATGGTATCTGTCTGACGTGAATTTGCAGACTCGGCGCGAGAAGAGTTTTTACTCTCACTTCACTCACTATGAATATGGTCATATTTCTGTTGATCACAATAGTGATGAAGATGTAGCTGAACATGCATATCCTGTGGTTGACTACTGGGAAGTAGATGTTCACAAGAGAGAACTGATACGTCACCACAAGGATTATAGAAAGATTCTTTTTCCAGCAACTAAGTCCTGTCCTGTAGACACGGACTTACTGGAAGACTTGCGACTGACAATCATCAAGAAGAAGAAAGGAGGAGAAGAAATCAAGAAGCTAGATGATTGGCGCAAGGCAAAATGGAAGGACCTACAAATTGGCTATGAATGGCGTGGTAGAACAATTTTTAAGTTCAAACCAGATGCCAAAATTCCAGATCTAAAGATCAGGAAGGCTGGCATTGAGCACCGTGGCATTGGTGATCCCGATGCAGTGGTGCGCTCCTCCTCAGAGAAGGTTCCCATTGCAAAGGACAGGGAACCAGGCTTCTCGTCAGAGAAGGAAGGTGCACCATCAAGTGCCGCGGAAAAGCCCGTGCCGCCAAAGTTTCGGTATACTTCCAAGGGTTTTGATCCATTTTGGAAAGGACATAAGTCGAAACCATCTGAGCCTCAGAATGATTTAAAGGGTGATGATCTTGAGGAGTATGCTCCCTCAGAACCACCTGAGAGGCCAGAAGGTGAACTTGTAGAAATTCCTAAAGCATCAAAAGGACCATCAAGTGATAAACATGAACCACTTGAACCAGGTGATGGCGCTCTTGAGCCTAGGCGGATTTCAATCCCATTACCTGGTAGTGAAGTTGTTGCAATGACACCGGCATATAGGAAGATGTTACAGAGACTGGAGGACAAGGTAGAGCTTTATAAGCTTCATGTGAAGCACTACCATATGAGTCCTACTCAGTTTCGTAGACGTGTTTCTATGTTGAAGCTTCCTGACTCTGTTTTAGAGAAGTATGAATCAGTTGTCAGGAACTGCCGTGTTTGTAACACTTCAGTGGCACCTCCGCCACGAGCCAGAGTCTCCGGTATTAGAGCTTCATGTTTTGGTGATGTTGTTTTTGCTGATCATTGTGAGGTTGAACTTCACAAGAACAAGTATATCATCTTACTTGTTCTTGATGGTGCCACAAATCTTCTCTGGGCTACGGCACAGAAAGACCTCATAGATCAAACCACCATCCAAGCATTGAGGCAATGGTCTGATGAGAACAACTGTGTTCCAAAGGCCATCGTAGGAGACGAAGCCTTTTTCACCGATGCTTTTGTTGAATACTACAGGTTCCATGGTATACAACAATGTCCTTGTGGGCCAAGAACTCCTTGGCCGAACCGAGCAGAGACAGCTGTACGTTTGTTCAAACGTATGTGGCATGTTATGAAGGTAGATCTGGATGACCCACGTTTTCGTGGTGTTACGGTCAGAGAAGTGGTCAAGAAGGTAGTTTGGGCAAGAAATTGTCAGTTGACTATCAGTGGATATTCACCAATAGAGATAGCAACTGGAAGACGTCCACCAGATCTTTTTGACCTTGAGACCGCAAGCCCTGAGCAATTGTCAGCTAATGCCGCCGCACAAGATCGTACAAATTTGGAACTACAACGTGTGGCTTTGAGAGCTCATCAAGAAGCACGACAAGCTCAGGACCTTCGAGCAGATCTTGCAAGAAGGACTATGCCAAGTGACGGTCCTTATTTCCAAGGAGAGAAGGTTTTTGTTTGGACTCAGGATTCATCAAAGTTCAAGGATAAAGGACGTTGGGTTCGTGCCACAGTACTTGGACAAGAAGGAGCTATGGTCCAGGCCAATACTGGTAAGGCAGTGATACGTGTGAATCAGTCAAAGGTTAGACGCGATCACGATGAGTGGCATGATGTTTCCATACCGGCATTAGACGATGAGAATCCGGAGAATTTACGTGAAGATCACGAACTGTATGTTGATGCCGAATTTGGAGAACAGTCCTTTTTCTTCTGTAATGATGATCATCCTGATGTTGTTGAGTTACTTCATGGAA